GCTTCTTTTGTGACCCCTTTTGGTGGTCTTTGGTTTTTTTTTTTTTTCCTAGTTTTCTTGTTTTGTTTTATTTAGATCTGCTGGTAGCCAGCAAAAAAATAAAAAAGATATTAAGGGTTGGTTGTTGCTTGTTTGGATTTTCTAACCACGATATCTTGGAGAGCAGACTAATCTGTTTCAAAAAGAGATTAAATGATGTCCAATTACTTTAAAACATTCTATTAAAAGAATTTATAAAAATTAATTTTTTTAAAGGTTATTTGTATAAATTTATTCATCGCCTTTTTCTTATATTTATTTTATATTAAATTTAATCTATTCTTAATTTTATCTCTAATTATATTCTTCTTTGTATTATCATGAGTTTTTATTAATGCGATAAAAATTTCTTCTATAAATACAGTATGACTTTGTTTGATTTATATGATTTTAGCTATGTTTAAAAAAAAAATCAGTGAAATATAATTTGATTTAATCATTGTTCTGTCTTTTCAAAATAATTGAAGATTAAATGTATTTTAATCTTCAATAATTGTTTGTGTTTTGTCTTTATGTATTAAAAAATAACATTTCAAATTTATTCCGGTGCCCTTACACTAATGCATGACAACAGAACTTTGTGGCTCCATTCAACTTAAAAAATAAAACATTAACTTAATAATTGTATATTAAACATTGCATATTTAAATCTGATATGAGAGATTTGGTGCATATAGTATATGATACTCAAACCGATGAAGATTGTATTCTGTCATGGACGCGATTTTGTTCTATTTTTTTTTATCAATTTTTAATTCATAAAATAACATTTGCACTCATTCCGTTTTAAATTTGGTTGCTTTATTTTGATTTTAAAAATAAAAAAATTCAAGTCAAAATATAATATAATAAATAAATATTAGTTAAAAATTTTCTCTTTTTTCCGTATATATTTTTATTTAATAATTTTATTTAATTAAAAATTTTTTAATTTTCATTTATATGCTAGTATATTAGTAAATTTTCACTCAAACTTTGTCTTAAAAAGCAAAAACCAAACTAAACTATACTATTATTATAGGGGGAGAGTAACTAATGTGTTTAAAATATAAAATTTATTTAAAATTTTCATGTATGATAGTGTACCATACAAATTTTTGTTTAATTGATATGAAATGCAATTAAGATACGTATAAGATAAGAAGATAAAAGAGGTTAATAAAAAAAATAAAAGATAATAAATAAAAAAAATTGTCTTTATAATTTATAGTATAATTTAGGGAAAAAAATATTATAGTTAGCAATGGAGGCTTTCTATTTTGTATTTAGCATATCAAAAAATTAACTGTTTGATGTTATACAAATTTTAACATCTAACCATAATTTTAAAATAAAATTTTAAATTAGTAGATAGATACTCAACCAAATTCTTGTAAGTGCAATGAAGGCTTTCTAACATAAGAAGTACCACTACTGAGTAGAAAAGATCAATCTTGAAGCTTATCTATTCATACCTCATTAAGTAAAATTTTCAATTTTCTTTTATTTTTATAGTTTATCTAATGAATAAAATCCAATGGTTGAATTTGTAAAAGAAAAGTATAGTTTTATAGTTGAGGGTGTTTTTTGGTTTTAGCCTCGAAATTAGTGCTTAATAAAATTTCAATTTTTTAAAATGTATCGTCCCTATTTAAGAGGTGTGCCACTAGAGTTCTCTTATTTTTAAATATATTAGGGGATGTCTCTCATTCTCTTAAATCATTTCTCACATTCCAGTTACGTTCTAGATACCTTTCAACCTATTGTTGAATTTAGCACAACCTTTTTGTGACTGCTGTGGCCAAAAACACCCCTTCATTAAATTACAACGCAACAAGTTTTCTTCCTTTTCTCTTTCCTATGTTCCCTTTACTGGAATTGAAGAAGATAACTGCAAAAGCAAGTGAACCTGCAGAAGGATAATGGCAAAAAAAGAGGGAGACAAATAGAAAGGAAACAAGAAGAATAAAAAAGAAAGATAGGATTTACACATAAAAGAGAAAGAAAAAATGGGATTTACAATTTTACATAGATCAGGGGAAGAAAGAAAGTAGATGACTAAGGAGGAGGAAAGATGGATAGAAATTATTCAACCAAACCTAACCCAGTACTTTAAAAAAAATAGTAAAATCCAGTTACTTAAAACCAATTCTTTTTTATTGTCCCAACTCTTTAAAATATTTTGTATGAAAATAATAAAAAAATGATTAAATTAATTTTATAGTATAAATTAACAAGGAATATGATGAAGGACAAATTTAAACCCATGAAAAATTCCAACAAGGATTCCTATCTTTAGGATTCCTGAATATGGGAATGGAAAGTCACTCCTAATTTTGTGGAATTCATTGCCATCACTAACTGGCATGAGAAGAGGAAAGAAAGAGGAAGGTGGGTGAAGAAGGGAAGAAGGGAAAGGGAAAACAATGAATGACAGGGAAAAATGATCATTGAACATTATAAAATTATTGAATCTTGCTAGAATTGTAAGACTGGTACACCAAAAAATTAAAGACTTTCGAAAGACACTTTCTCAAAAAACTTGTAATACAAGGACTATAAGAAATAGAATCATGGAATACAAAGACTATAGTTGGCTTTAACCCAACTATTAGGTGGCCTCCAAGTTTGACCTCTAAATATTTGATCCACATGGCATTTATTTTCATATTGATCCTCACTGCTTGCTTTAGGGTATGTTTTACGTTACACCCTTTCGGTAAGAAGACTTTTGGCAAATATCAAATAAGGATACAAACTTTCACCTATATATAATTAAAGGTACTTTCTTTTATTCGTGACAAATAAGGATACTTTACTTTCTATACATAAGCGGTAAAATAATGATAATATAGACATAAGTCCTAAAAAAAACAAAATGAAGGTGAAAAATAAGCACAAATTAAAGTATTTAACAAACAACACCTTTA